TCATGTGCGAGGACTGGGACGACGTAGGCCTTGCCTCAACCCGCCGATCCCCTTCAGGAGGGAACCACATTCCAAGGGCAACTGCTGGAAAGATGCCCCCAGGAGGGTCCCAAGAGGCCCCGAAGAAAACACTCAGGATCCAAGACGGGTAAGATGGCCCCCAAATGTCCCAAAGACAACCGAAGAGAGCTCCATCAGCCCACCGGGAAGGCACCAAGTCGCCCCCAGTAGGACCTAAAAACTGTGACGTTTGCCAGTGGACCCCGAGCAATTGATTACTACATTCCCGGTGTGCGCACTATGCTGTGCAACGTATGGCACGATATCAAAACTTTACAACTCGAAATCGTCAACTCGAGTGCTCGAGGAATCATCCTACCCACACCCGCAACTTGTTGGCCATATTCAGGAGGCCGTGAGCGCAGTAACCCATAGGAGCTGATCAGCAAGTCCCAAGTGGCGCAACGACGCGTGGCCCCTCCTCATGCAGATCAAATACCTCGAGCGGGCGAGTGACGAGGGCGTCGTGGTGATAGTAGCCCACGCGACGGCCACAGCGCGGGGGCAGCGGGGGCAGCACGAACCCGATCAACACCAATCCCATCTGCGACGTCCCAGCCTTTGGAGTCCCGAAACGGTGCGGTGACAGACCGTGCGGTGACCTCTAAATCCCCGAAGACCTCACCGCACGGTCCGTCAACGCACGGCTTTGGGACCTCGGATGCCCCAGTCGCCCGAGACGTCCTCGGAGAACGACCCGAGTCCCAAAACCGTGCGGTGACCCCGAATCCCCACCGACTTACCGCACGGTGTGGTCACCACCCCGTCCAGGGGCCCCCGATGGCCAGACTCTGGCCCATCGCGACCGCAGCGGGGGGGCCGGATCGCTCTGCCCGCGGCAGGCCCGGCGGCGGCTGGGCCTGCCGCCCCGAGGGGCGCCTCAGCAGCCCCAGCGCGCCGCGCAGCATGGCCTCCTCGCAGCCGCGTGGAGGGCACAGGGCGGGGGTGGGAGCGGGACGGCTTGTTTTTGGTTTCGAGCAGGGACCGACCGTCCCGGTATTTCATTCATATAGGCCTACCACGACATGTTCTTAGAACCAAACAATGTTCTGAGAACAAAAACCAACGGTGGACAAACCTCCCTATAGTAAACCTCCCTTTAGTGAAAACGGCCTGGGACCGAAACCGACGGACCTCGACCCGCAAAAAAGACGGCCGCGACGCCCTCTCGCGAACCGAAAGCAGCCAACTCGCTAATCGACGTGTCAGAATAGGAGGTCGATCAACCTCCGAAAAACAATGCTCTTAGAACAGAAATCCTACGCGTTAAAACAAGATAGTCCCAGCCAGACACGTTCTGAGAACATCTCGCGCAAACCACAAAAGGTTCTCAGAGCGTTCTCTAGTGGGCCTATCGGCGAGCCAGGACGCTTCGCCGCTGCTGGATGGTTAGCGCCGAGGACGAGCGCCAACGCGGTCGAACAGCCCGCGGGCCGCGCTGGGCAGGGGCACACCAGGCAAGCGGAAGAGGAGGAGGAGGAGGAGGAGGAGGAAGAAGACGCCGACGGCCACGACGACGACGGCGGCGGCTGCGGCGACCACAACGACGACGATGACTGCGGCTTTGGCGCCGACGACGCCGCCGCCGTCGTCGTTCTTGTCGATGTCTCTGCTGGTTTCCTCGTCTGTGCTGGAGGCCCGCGGGGGCGTGCCTGGAAATCCTGGAGGCACCTTGGGAGGGCGGTCGCGGCAGGGGGACACGCGGGAGGAGGCAGGCGCAGCGAGTTTTCGCTGGGAGGGGTGTGCAGGCGGCCTCCGGCACCGCAAACTCGGAGGAGGAAAAGGTACCCATACCTCTACGACCACCCTTCGGGTGAGAAGGAGGCTGTGGGGGGGGGGGGAGAGGGAGAGGGGGGGGAACCAACATCTGCCTCAATCCTTCTCACTATCGATCTCACTCAACGGGACACCATGGGACACCACGGGACACCACGGGACACCAAGGTACCCATACCTCTACCCTTCGCCCGTTCTTCACTTGTCGGGCCTCCTGGGGGGCCCTCGTCGCCGCCGCTGGATTCACCTCGAAATCCTGGTCAGAACGCACCCCTGGAGAGGTCCAAGGAGTAGCAGTATCGGTACCTTTTGATTTCCCCACAAACCATTACAGTGGAAGGTGAATCGCCAGTGCCAGCTACCGAAGGCCAGGAGGGCGGAACAATAGGGAAGGAACTCATCATGCTCGCCCCATGACAGGCCGTCCAGAAGAGGCCGGCAGACATACGGAGCAGGCAGGCGGCAGAGTAGATTTGGCTTCGGCCCGCCACAGGAGAAGGAAAGCAGACACAGCCCTTTCTCGGCTCTAGATGTCGGACGGTGCCTTCAATAGGTTGGGGATCTGGGAATACAACAGCACTGAGCTCCGACGCTGCGAACAAAAGTACCGCATCGGTAGAGGGGGGGGGGGGGGGGAGAAAAACGGACCCGAGACCCCGGCCCCCACTTTCTGCAGCATCCCTCGAGCCTGGCCGATCCGTCAGGGCCCCCCAGCGGCGTGGCCTGGGCCCCACTGGCCGATTTACCCCCCTAGATGGGGATGCAGGTCGTTCCCTTCGGGCTTCGAGGGTGTATCCCCAACTGGGGTGGTAATTTTGTGGGGGTCTCGAGCGGGGTGGGGATGGGGATCGGGATCGGTCAAACGATACTGACTGGGGCACGCACCCCAGGCCGAAAAAACGTCAGGTGCGAAAACTGGCTGGTCGGCAGCAGACTGGCGGTCGCAGGCGCGTCTGCAAAGAGCCGGCGGGCCGAGCACTAGGCACCAGGCACACACGGAGCGGGTGGGAGAGAAGAGGGCGCGGGGGAGGAGGAGGAGGAGGAGGAGGAGGAGGAGGAGGAGGAGGAGGAGGAGGAGGAGGAGGAGGAGGAGGCGGAGGAGGCGGAGGAGGCGGAGGAGGAGGAGGAGGCGGAGGAGGAGGAGGAGGAGGAGGAGGAGGAGGAGGAAGAGGAGGAACGGATCATCCTCGCGCCGGCCGCGGATGCGGAGGGAGGAAGGAGGCCCGAGCCGCCGAGAACTGGCGGGGTGGGAGCCCGCGGGCTGGGTGCGACAACATGCCGACGTGCAACTCTCAGGGAGCACCCACTGCTTGTTTTAGGTCGGGCATGTCCCCCTAATTACAAGCGGATTTTGGACGAACAATATAAAATAATACAAGACTCAAAATACCCCAAACATAGCCAAACGATACCCCTCCTGTAGAGGGGCACGCCCGACTTAATGCTTGTTTCCTGTGAACGGCCGGCGCCTGCGGGCGCACAGAGCGAGGTGTCTGGCCTCGCCTCGCACTCGTGGAATCCGGGCGTCTGCGCCCCTGCGCGGCAGGCTGCCGCATCGCATCCCTCTGGCATGAGGCTAGCGGCTGCACGCAGGAAAGAGACCCTGGGCAAGAGGGGCCTCTGGCGTGCGGCATTCGGGGGTCCGCGGGGGAGGCCAACTCCAAGCAATCCAAGCGCACCACCCAGTGCTGGCGGGATCCCTGCTCGGGTGTTGCTGGAAGTGCCCCTGGCCCCAGGTGCCCCCAGGATTTCCAGGGAGGCCCCCACGGCCTCCAGAGCACCCCATCAAGAGGCCCAGAGGGCCCCAGGGGCTCCAGAATGCAGCGAAATGCTCTGGGGGCACCTTGGGCCAGGGGCACCTTTAGCAACCCCCGACCTGTGGACCCCCACCAAAGGCCTCTCCGGCGAAGGTCACTTTCGCGCGCAGCCGAAGCACACGGGCCCCCGGGGAGACGGGCCCTGGACCCTCGGGGCCTTCCCCCCCCGGCCTTTTGCCCTGAGCGCTTTCGGACAACGCCAGGGCCGTGTGGGACTCGGGGAGGCCGAAGACGGCGGAAAAACGCAGGATGGGCCAGAAAACAAACGACGCCACTCCACCTACGGCCCCACGAGGCTTAGCGTATACCAGGAGATATACGGCCCCCGGTGGACCGTAGCGCAACATGGAGGGTTGTAGGTGGGCTGGTGTCGTTTGTTTCTCGGTCGATAGGGCCCCCGTCCCTCATGACCTCAGGCATCCTCCGATACGATGATGTTCAATCCGCGGTCTCAAAATTCCCGACCCCTTCCCTGGGAGTAGTTTTTCGTCCAGGGCCCATGTTTGATGGCCCCCGGGCAAGATCACGGGAGCTGGAGGTCGAAACGCAAGGAAAACGCCGCGATTGAAACATCAAATGCCCCTGAGGTCCGACGCTGCGACAAAACAACAAAACAAAAAAGCAAAAGCAAAGCAACAAAACAAAAAAACACGACCGGAGCCTCGGACCGCATCTTTCTGCGCCATGTTTCGAGCCGGACCGATCCGTCAGGGTCCCAGGGTCCAGAACTGGGCGAAATAGCAAGTTGCCAATAAGTTGCAACGCCAGGATCTCAGGGATCGTCGGGGATCTAGGGTCCGCTATCTTCATGCCGAGCCCCTGGTTGACTGACCGCGGGGGTTGCTAAGAGGATCGGGGGGTTAGACGTGGATAGTAAGGTGAGTTGAGCTATAGCCCACCTGACCCAGATTATTGGATACTAGATTTGTTCGGCCGCGATCGGTGGCGATCGATCAACTATCCAAATCGGTCGCGACTGGACGCAACCGATCGCGACCGATCAGTCGCGACCGACTTTGAAGCAAATCCGTCGTGACAGGTACCGGAATTCGAAGCAAGTTCGGTAGCAACGATCTCGTCAGTCAAGCGAAACCCAGCATCCAATAGTACGTGCAGGTCTTGCGCGAGATGCCCCAGCGACCTGACGCGGTGCCTTACGCGGGCGGCCAGCGCGGCACGCTGCATTGGAAACGAGGGCGCCTACGCGCGACCTTACACAGGCAGCTTACGCGCCAACGTCGGCGAAGACGAACCCAATTTCCTTTGTCGCTCACTGAAGGGGCCCAAGGACACACAAATAAATACACACAAATAACAGGATCCCCCGTATGTTCACAGATTTTTCATTTTCCCCCCCACTTCCCATATGTTCCCATATTTTCCTGGGAGTCGACGGTCAATTGTGTCTGTGTGTTTTTCCCCCTCCTGACTCACTTGAGCAGCCACTTCTAACCCTCCCGCTGTTTGCTGTGGGCAGCTCTTGCACAGCGTGTCGCGGCCAGCGGCGGCCCCAGCGGCGCGCTGTGCCATGCGAGCGGAAGGCGTGTCGCTCCGCCTCGGGAGGCGGGAGGCTTGGCACGGCTCAGGACGTTCCGCATGAGGACTGTTGGAGGCCTGGAAATTGGCACCAACACCAACACAGGGGGGTGCCTCCATAGGGGGAAGATGATCCTAGACTTCGGTGTTGGTGGTGATCTTTCGGCCACCTAGAAAGCCCGAAGGTTTCCACCATCACCGAGATCGGGATCATCTTCCCTTGGTGTTGGTGTCAACCTCTAGGCCTGCGAGACTGGGAAATGGATAGCGTGTCGCGACGAAACGTGGTGGGCCAGAACCGGCGGAGCCAAAGTTCCCAACCACACGCGTCGGCCGGGAGAAGCAGGCAAAAACATGAACCAGGAAGGTGGATGAAGTAATTAGATTGGGTTCCGGCGCTCCGAGAGAATAACAACACACAGCAAAACCATCTCGATTCTTGAAATAGGAAGGCGCTTGAAGTAGATTGGGATCTGGGAATCTAGAGACACCTGCTTTCAACAGCCGACGAATATCCCTTCAGCACCCCCCCGCGGTGACTTCAACGGCGGCCGGGCCCTCACGCGGCGGGGCCAGAGGTGGGGCGCACGGCAAGCAGGTACCGCAGCCAGCCCGCGAGGGCGCTCGGCGACGCGCCCGCGGGCATGGCCCACGAGGAGCGCGCGGGGCACGCCGGGGGCAGCAGCCCCAGCTCGGCGGGGCCGGGGCACCACAGCATGGGCCGGCGGATCAAAGATGGGGTCCTGGCATTGCAGTTTTCTCCAAGTAGGCTTGCCCTATAGGAGTTCTAATTCAAACCCTACTCATTGGTCCGTTACCCCCCTAATTCCGATGCTCCCCCCTAATTCCTATGGCTATGGCTATGGCTATGCCTATGCCTATGCCTCCCCCCTGAATTCCTATGGCTATGCCTATGCCTATGCCTATGCCTATGCCTATGCCTATGCCTATGCCTCTCCCCTAACTCGTATGCCTACGCCTACGCCTACGCCTACGCCTACGCCTACGCCTATGCCTATGCCTATGCCTATGCCTATGCCTATGCCTATGCCTATGCAGCACCTCTGAGCGCTTCGATGCCTATGCCTATGCCTATGCCTATGCCTATGCCTATGCCTAGGGCCTATGCCTATGCCTATGCCCTGCTTGCCTTTGCTTGCTTGCCCTTTCTTGCTCTTGCCTGCTTGCTCTTGCGTGATTGCTGTTGCTTGCTTGCTCTTGCTTGCCTTTGCTTGCTTGCACTTGCTCGTTGGCTCTTGCTTGTTTGTTATTGCTCGCTTGCGCTTGCTTGCTCCCGTTTGCTTGCTTGCGCTTGCTTGCTTTTGCTCCTCCCGTCCTCCTCCCGTCCTGCTCCCGTCCTCCTTTCGTCCTCCTCGCATCCTCCTCTCGTCCTCCTCCTGTCCTCCTATCTATTTGGAGTCAACGCGGACTGATACTTTGCAACGGATTCTCGCAATGTTGCAATGTTTTCGAAGATGGTACTCTGGTCCCTGATATCCTACCGCTACCCTCACTTTGGCCATGTGGGCCCTCATGGGGGGCCCTCGTCGCCACGGCTGGACTATCCTCGAAATCCTGGCCAAATCGCACCACGGGGCAGGTCTGGGGGAGTAGCGGTATCGGTCTGGGGTGTGGCACCCTCGAGCCCCCCCTGTCATCCTCTCGTTGTGAAGAAAATCGCGGAGGAAGAACGTTGGCTCATTTTCGACCTCGGGGGGGCCCTCGCCGGGCAGCGGGACCGTCGCAAAACCACCGCAGACGAGAAGCTGGCCCCTGGGCAAAGTTCCAGACCTCAGAGGGTCCACGCTGCGGAAAATCACGGCGTCGGAGGTCTGGGCTGAGGGATTGGAAGAAGAACAAACCACAGAAACATAAACTTTTGGCGCTCCGCGCGGGGTCCAGCGCGGATCCAAGAAATCCGCGCGGAGCGCCAACAGTTTATGTTTCTGTGGTTTGGTTTTCTTCCAATCCCTCAGCCCAGACCTCCGACGCCGTGATTTTCAGCAGCGTGGACCCTCTGAGGTCTGGAACTTTGCCAAGGGACCCTCTGAGGTCTGGAACTTCATGTGGCTTTTTCTTCTTCGAGGGATGGGGCCCTGTGGACGAGTGGCGGCCTCGGGCCTCAGACAGCGAAGGCCCACCCGTGGGATCGTCTTCGCATCCTTGCGGTCGGCGGCGCACACGGGGAGAAGAGGGGAAAGGAGCGGGCCTTCCAAGAATGCGGCGGGGTCTCTCGGAAGCCGACTGGCCTTCTGAGAAGTTTCCCTCCTCCTCCTCCTCCTCCTCCTCCTCATGCTCCTCCTCCTCCTCCTCCTCCTCCTCCTCCTCCTCTTCAGTTTCCGGTGCATTCAAGGGGAGGCTCACAGTTGAGGATTGGAAGATAAAGCTTGTCTCGTCATACCTGGTGTTGGTGCTTGTTGCCAGGTGTGACGATCTAGGGTTTGTGCACCTGTCTACAGGTATAGGTTGAGGGATAGTGCAAGTGTGTTTATAACTCCACACGTGTGCGGATTACATTATTGCCGCAATCTGTGCCGTACAAAATGTACAAACCATCACGCTGCCAAACTGAATGTGTATTAATGTGTATGGATTGTGGAGCTGGACATTATGGTCTTCATCACGTTCGTTTGATTGCGCGGGCGTGCATGTGTTGATTTTGTTTCCGGGTCGGAGCTTGGCAGCACTGGAGTAGAGTCCACTCCTGCGCACTCCTACATAATGCCACCTATTCAGGGTATGATACAACCCAAACAAAACTAAAACGTTGGACGTACGAGACATACGAACTACATTTAAATCAAACGGAAGGATACGGGGAGAGGAGAGATGAAGATGACAGGAAGGTGGGCGCAGGAGGAATGCGGAGGAAGGGTCGAAGAGCCCCAGCCCGACAACGGAAAACGCTGCAGGACTTAGAGACTGGGCGGATAGAGGTGCGACGCGATGCTGGGACCAGGTGCTCATGAAAGGGTATGATTGCGAGTCCTGGAGTCCAGGGCTGCGGCTGCGGGCATCCTCCTCCTCCAACAAGCCCACTGGCTTCGGGCCCTCACGCCTTAAGGGCCTTGAGCCTTAAGCCGTAAGCCTACGCCTTGAGCCCTTGGCCTAAGGCCTGTACCCAATGGGGGGAGCGTCGCGATGGGGTCTCCGCCGCTCAGGGTTGCTGTCGCCACTGATTCGGCCACCGGGCCGCTGGAGCAGCGCGGCCGAATTGTGGGCCTTCGAACTCGCGACAACTGGCAGCTGGCGCTGCCCAAGGCCCAGGACCCAGGGGCCCAGGGGTCCAGGCTGGGGCCCGGCGCGGGCCAGAGGGGGGGCTGCCGACACCGCGCAAATCGCAGCGCGTGGCGCTGGGATCTCGGATTGGGGCGGGGCGAAAAGGCGGAGACTTCTCAGGGCAACGGCGGCGGCGGACAAGGGGATGTCGCTCATATGTCCATCGACGCGGCGGGTGCCGCAAGTGGGCAGTGGGGCATCGGAACTTTCCCGCACCGGCGCAGGTGGGAGTGGCGCAGCAAACTCGATGCGGCGGCGCGGGTAGGTGGCAGGTGCGAGTGTCGACAACACCGCGCGGGGCACGGCAGCAGGGCGCACTCAGCCAGAATCTCTAAGGGGGAGGCGGCGCGGGGAGTTCTGCAAAAATCTCGGGCCGGAGCGGCGGGGGGGGGGGCCTTGCGCAACAAAAATCCACGCGAGGGCGGTGCCCGGGGTGGGGGGCTCGGCAGAAGTCTAAGCTGGGTGGGGGGGGAACTTTTGTGCAAAAATCTCGACGCGGGGGTGGGCTGTGTGGGGGGGCTCCGCAAAAATCTCGACGCAGGGTGAGGGGGAACTTTGCACCAAAACTCGAAACGCGGGCTGGGGTGGGGACTTTGCAAAAATCGCGACGCGGACGAGGGTGGAGGCTGGACTTTGCCAAAATCGCGACGACCTGGGGCGGGGGGGCTGGGTAGGCGGGGTGGACTTCGCAAGAATCGCGACGCGGGGGGGGGGGGGGGGCAGTCGGGGACCTTCTGCACAAATCTGAAGCGCCCTGCTTGATGACTGTTAGGAGCTGCTAGCTCATTGGTCGAGCTCACAACTGGCCAGCGCATTAGTTTTGCGATCGGGAAACGCATCATTTGGGAGCTGTCAAAGGTACCACTACTTTCGCAGGGAAACGCATCAATTTGGGAAACGCATCAATACCTTCGCTGGGTACCCCGACCCCCGCGTTTCCTCCCCCTCGGGCCCGTCGAGCGCCCGCGCGCGCGGGCGGTGCCGCGCGCCCACGAGCGGGCGCCCAGCGCCCGCGTCCCGAACCCGCGCCCCGACGCGCGAGGCATAGCGCTGCTGGCGATGCACCTTGCTTAGATCCCACGCTGGGGGGGGGGGAAAAGAACAAAAAAAAAAAACGAGCGCCCCGAGACCACGCGTACGATGTTTTCCGCGGAGCGCCGCGAGCCCCAAATCCCAGACCTCGCCCTAGGCACTAGGACTACACCCCAGCCCCAGCCCAAGAGACAACCCTGCACCCCGCTCCGAACGCCCTGCAGAAACGCCTACGCAAATTCTTATGATATGCGACCACGCAAATTGTAACGATATGAATTCTACCGTCTACATTTTGTCGCGCCCTTGCGCTCCCACCCGCAATCCCTAGGCCGTATGCCCTGCGTCTCAGCCGCAGACCACGCGCAGATCTCTAGTTTATTCTCCCTTTTCAAAAGAGAATAGACTCTACCCCCCCCCGGCGTTATCGACCCCCCTTTCAGGGTATGTAGATCATGTATGATTTTGACCACATGTCCATCCGAAATGTGAATTTGCACTTTCCCCGGGGAACCGGTATCGCTCCCCCTGAGGTCCCCTTGTTTTAGAAAAAAATCGGGGACATGTTTGTTCTAACATAAGACTTGTTCGCTAATCCCTTGCAGAAAAATGCCGAAGTGCACACGCGCGCGTCGTCGCGCGCGCATGCCGGAATCCTTCAAAAACCTTCGGAGTCGGAAGGATTTCGCAATCGAGTTCCCAAAAGAAAACATACAAAAACACAGGGCTTCGCAACACTGACTTGCTAAAAAAGCGAGCTCTTGCGAAAGAAAACCATCGGTTTCCCAGATTTTCACCAAATGCTACCAAACGGGCTTCGCGCGCGCGCATGCCGAAATCTGCCGAACGCCCTTGCGCGTCTGCCGTCGCGAGAATCCTCTGGAAAAAATGGGACGAAGCGCAGACGCGCGCGTCGTCGCGCGCGCATGCCGAAATACTTCAAAACCCATAGGTTTCGGAAGGATTCCAAAATCGTGTCCAAAAAACCTACAAAAACACATGGTTTCGCAACACGGATTTTCAACAGAAGTGTGCGCGCGCGCTCTTGCGTCGTCGTCGTCGTCGTCGTCGTCGCGGTCCGCCTTCCTCGCGCGTGGTCGTCGTCGTCGTCGCCTACGTCGTCCTCTGGTTTTCCTCGTGTTCGTCGTCGTCGTCCTCTTTGGCGTCGTGGTCGTTTCCGTCGTCCTTGTCGCCGTGGTCGTCCTTCCTCCTCCTCCCTCGTCGTCGTCATCGTCCGTCGTCGGCGTCTCGTCGTCGTCCCTCCTATTTCGTCGCCGTCGTCGTCGTCGTTGTCGTCGTCTTCCCTCCTCTCTCGTCGTTGTCGTCGTCGGCGTCGCCGTCCTTCCTCCTTCTTCGTCGTTCGCGTCGTCGCCGTCCTCCCTCCTCCCTCGTCGTTGTCGTCGTTATCGCCGTCGTCGCCCTCCCTCCTCCCTCGTCGTCGTCGTCTTCGTTGGCGACGTTGTCGTCGTCGTCGTCGTCGATGTCGGCGTCGTCGTCGTCGCCGTCGTCGTCGCCATCGTCGTCGTCGGCGTCGTCGACGTCGTCGTCGTCGGCGTCGTGGTCGTCGTCGTCGTCGTCGGCGTCGTCGTCATCGTCGTCGTCGGCGTCGGCGTCGGCGTCGTCGTCGGTGTCGTCGTCCGTCGTCGTCGTCGTCGTGGTCGTCGTCGTCGAAGTCGTCGGAGACGTCGTCGGTGTCGTCGTAATCGTTATCGCCGGTGTCGTCGTAGTCGGTCTTAAGAGGTTTTGCAAACCAAGTTGCGGGTGGGTGGGTGGGATGTTTGCAAGAGCGTGGGATGTGTCAAATCATGGGTAAAAATCAACCCCAAGACCATAGACCCTAGATCGCGCTGCATTCGTCCAACACCCTGCTCCCCAGACCCGAAGCCCCAGATCCCACGGCCCCAGACCCTGTGGCCGAGGGCCTAGGGCCAAAGCGGCCCTGAGCCCCAGACTCGACATTACACCCTGGTCCCGCGCCCGCGCCAACGCAGCGCGTCTGGGCGCCCAGGCCTAACGAACCAAAATGGGAGCCTGGGCCTACGGCCAGGCCCTGGCTCTGTCTTCCACCGAATTCTAACTGGACCACGCACCCCGCTTACAAAGACGGAAGGCGTCACTTGGTCCCACGGCAAAGCTGCGCGCGGCATCAAGCCTTCGCCCCAAGCCCATGTGCCCAAATTGTCAATGGAAATAATGGCCGCCGTGGCGCCGTAATGGTAATGAATATGACGGTGATCCCAGCTGGAGCCTGCACGCCGAAGGCCGCGCCAGTTTGGCCGTGGCCCTTAGCCCTGCGTTGGAAAGACGGGGTGGCTGAAGGGAGGAATATGGACACTGAAGGCTCTGAATGCTTAAGTGGATCAAAGAAAACGCGGCAATTGGCAGGGGGAACATGCAGCGGCGATGCGGAAGCGAGGGGGCGCAAAGGAAAGACCATGAACGTGAGCGAGCGGGGCGGAGGGGGCTTATTCATATAGCGCACGACAAGATTCCCAGCATTCCTGGCCTACCAGGTTCATCACATGTCAAACAATGGTGGTGGATGTGTGTAAACAACGGCCAGTGGCATACGTGCTCGACCTGAAATGAAGCCAACATGTTCAATAGTGGTGGAATGAAGGCACGATCCGGACCTTGAGTGGACCCAAGGAGTGGTGGGAGCCTCGCGTTCATGCCTCGTTCTGGACCTGGGGGGTGAAGCGGCCGAAGCAGTGGGAATCCCGTGTGCCTGCCGATTTGTATTGAAGAAAGCGTTGCAACAGAAACGCGATGCTATATGCGTACCACCATTGTCTTGGCATCAAGACGTTCTCGAATACCCATTTTTGGCACCAGCAATTTCTCCTACCCGTTTTGTCAGTGCGACCATGTTTCGCAACCCGCTGCAAAGCAACGCCGCTTTCCTCAACTGTCTGGCGCGCACTTCCTGGCGACGCAACGCGTTTGCTGACATCTGGCAACACTTGCTACAACCCACCAACACGACACCTCAACTCAAAACTCAACACATTGCTGAACTTTGGAGGCCTGGAAATTGGCACCAACACCAACACAGGGGGGGCCTCCACAGGGGGAAGGCGATCCTACATTTCGGCGTTGGTGGTAATGTTTCGACCACCTTGGAAGTCAGAACACCACCACCATCACCGAGATCGGGATCTTCTCCCCTCGGTGGAGGCACACCGCCGATCTTGGTGTGGGTGTCAACCTCTAGGCCTGCGAGAACTTGTTCCCCGGCCACGGACGAGCGAATCTCAAGGGGCCCTGGGACACGCAAATAAATGCACACAATTAACAGGATTCCCAATATTTTCAAATATGTTCTGGGTTTTTGTCTTCCCCCACACTTCCCATAGTTTCCCATTTTTTCTGGGGAGTCGACGATTAATTGTGTCTGTGTGTTTTTGTTCCCTCCTGAGAATCTTCAGCATCCTCGAGCTCAGAAAGACTTCTCAGAAGGCCAGCGGCCCTCGGAGACTTCTGGCAGGGCCCGCCCCCTCTCGCTTCCCCCCCGGGCACGCCGACGCTCAGGGCCCCACTCCTCTGAGGTCGGGCAGGTCCCCCTACAGGCGGACTTTGGACGAAAAATTAAGAACACCCCCAAAAATGCTCAAAATGAAATCAAAAATAATAGAAAAATCGTCCCCAGACTATTTGTTGACTATTTTTGAATATTCCTCCTGTAGAGGGACAGGCCCGATTTAACACTCCTCAGAGGCCCCACCCTTGAACTGCCAGCATGGGCCAGTCGGCGGGCAGCCCCTGCGAGACGGCGGAGAGCTCGGCGCGCATCTGCCTCCCACAGGAGGGAGGCGGAGCAGCACAAGCTCAGAACTTCCGGAGCTTCGCGCGGATTTGTTCTTGAACCGGTGCTGGGCCCCCCTGGCGGGGCCTCCGGCGCCGCCCCTGGCGCGCCTGCGCCGGTCCAAGGAATCCGCGCGGAGCTCCGCAAGCTGAGGTTCGCACGCAGTTGCTTCCTCTCCGAGCCTCTCGTACTCGGCGGCCCCCACCTCTGCGAGGCGGGGGGGATCCGCAACCACCGCCCAGGGGATCGGCCTTCGGGGGCCTGGGCAGGCTGTGCATGTGGTATCGTGCATGTGGCCCTCCTGCCAAGGTCCCTGGCTTCCGTCGGCTTCCGCCGAGCTCCCGCGGGCTTCCGCCTGCGGAGCCAGCCGCGCTTTACTTCTGCCGCCCTGCGCTGGCCTTCCGCCGCCTTCCGCCGAGGAAGAGACGGCGACCCCTTCGATCCTCGAAGGCGGGGCCCTCTCTGGAGCGCCACGTTCGGCCCACCTGCCAAGGTGCGGACTATGCCAGGACGGACGCAGGAAAATGCCGGGGAGTCAGCGCCGCAAACGCGGGCAAGAGCAGGTAAACATTCCCTGTAAACATCGATCCCCAGGCGGTGGTTGTGGGTAGATCCCGCCCGACCTTGCGGCGCCCCCTCGCCGAGAGCACCAGCACGACGCCGAAGCCGTGCCCCGTGTTGGAGCCGGCCAGGCGCCGCGCCTGGCGCCCCTTCGCCGCCAGAGCCTCCGCCGAGAAGAGGTCGTCCGCAATGGCGGTGGCCTCCCCAGAGATCCGACGCTCCGGCAAAACTGGGAGCGGCCGGCTTTTGACCGCTTTCGGCCTCCAGAGCCCTCGCCGGGCCTCTAAACCGTCAACGACTGAGGACGGAGAGCCGGCCCTATGGAAATGGTCCAGACCTCTGGGGCCCAAGCAGCGAAAAAATGGGAGCGGCCAGATGTCTGGATCTGCGGGGCACAAGAAGAGTCCGATCATACCGGTACCTTCCCAGACCTCTCCCAGGGGCGCGTTCGGACCGGGATTCCGAGGCGAAGAATGCAGACAAGGCGACGAATGAGGGGCAGCGACATCGATACAGTAGACACCTACGATAAGAAGTTCAGCTGAGAAAATTTTAGGCACGTTCTTCGTCGATCTTTGAGGGTCCTAAGGCGCCCAATTGCTTCTGAGGGTCCCTGGGGCCATCGGAGAGAAAGGAACTTCCGTGGGGCACCTGCCGACAGGCCGATGTCTCACTTGATGTGCTCAGCGTGTTGATTGCCCGCTGGAACCACCAGGAACCCGTCGCTCTCAACTACATTCCCTTGAGATGTTCGGGAATTGATTCGGTGCACTCTTTCCTGACGCATCTCACGCTTCCACGGGTGCTCTAGCCGTGCACGTGCTCACGCTTCCGATACCCACTTCCGTCCGCCCCATCTACTCCGCACGCTGCTTCTGCAACACCAGACACAATCCTCAACTCCCTCCGACACCAAAAACACACCCACTACTTAGCAGCCTCCAACACCAATCCCACACCCAATGCTCAACAGCCTCCTCCCCAAGTACACCTTGAAAAGATCCTTCTACACCACTCACCCCGTCTCCAACACCGCGCGCGCACACACACACACGCACATGCACACGAACACGCACTACTCAACAGCCTCCGTCTCCAACACCATTTCCCCAAGTGCTCCTTGACAAAACCTTTCTACTCCACCCCCTCCGTTTCCAACCAGCCTCCGCCTCCAACCCCACACACAGGACTCAACAACCACATGCCCAAGTGCACACTGAAAAGGATATTATACTCAACCCCTCCGTGTCTTACACCAATCCACTTCTCGACAACACCTGTGTTGAACCCCATACCGAATACTCGACAGCCCCCTTCCAAAATGAAACTTGAACAGATCCTTCTACTCCATCCCGTCCGTTTCCAACAAGAACACCCACTCCCCAGCAGCCTCCGTCTCCAACCCCACACTCACTACTCAAAGACCTCCCCAGTGGCACCTGGAAAAGATCCTTCTACTCAGCTCCCTCTGCTTCATAGACCGCACCCAATACTCAACAAACTCAGTTTCCGACCCAACACTCGCTACTCGACAGCCGCCTCACCAAATAGACCTTGTACATGTCCTTCTACTTCATTGCCTCCGCCTCCAACCCCACATCCAATAATCAACAGCCTCCGTCTCTAACCCAACCCCTCGCCCAATACTCAGCAGCCTCCTCCCCATGTGCACCTTGAAAAAGATCCTTCTACTTCCATGCCCAGCCCCAACCCATACTCAACAACCTCCGTCTCCAACCACAGACCCACCAATCAACCGCCTTCTCTCCGAATGTACCTTGAACAGATCCTTCTACTCAACTCCCTCCGACTCTACTCTGCCCACTACTCAGCAGCCGCCGTCCCCGACCCCACAACCACGACTCAACAGTCTCCACCCCGCGTGCAGCTTAGAAATAATACTTTACGTACTCAACTCCCTCAATCTCCAACGCCACATTCACTAATCAACAGCCCCCAGCTCCATCCCCCACGCCCACTACTCAATAGCCTTCTCCCCCCCGTGCAATGTGAACGGATCCTTCTACTCAACTCCATCCGTGTCCAACATGAACCTCCACTACTCAACCCCCTCCGTCGCCAACCCCACACACAATATTCAAAGGCCCCCGGCCCCAACGCCACACCCAATACTCAACAGCCTCCTCCCCAAATACACCGTTCAAAAACTGCTGCTCAACTCCCTCAAGCCCCAACACCACACCCGATACGCAACAGCCTCCGTCCCGAACCCCACACCCACTACTCAAAGGACTCCTCCCCGTGCACCTTGAACAAACCCTCCTACTCCACCCCCTCCGTCTCGAACCTCACACCCACTACTCAAAAGCCTCCGTCTCATACACACACATACACACGCACACACACACACACACACACACACACACACACACACACACACACACACACACACACACACACACACACACACACACACACACACACACACACACACACACACACACACACACACGCGCACGCACGCACGCACGCACGCACGCACGCACGCACGCACGAACACACACACACACACACACGCACACACACACACAGACACACACCCACACACCCACACACACGCACACACTCACGTTTTTGCTGCGTTGCGGTAGCAGGACCAATCGCTGCCTGTGCCCTGCCTGTCTGAACTAGCTGGCAGGCGCACCCCTGAGATGATCAAAGGTGCGGGCCTCGGGGCCAGCTGGCGCCCAGGCTATACATGACATCTGCAATCACACTACCAAACCTCCACACAAAAAAGACCGCGCAGCTTAGCCGAGCAGTGGCGTGATTGGCCGCGACGTGAGTCTCCACGCAAGGCGCACCGTTACGACAAATTCTTTCCGTCCACGCGCCTGCCCGATCAAACCGTTGCTCACAGGCGACTTGACAAAGTCGTGTACGCACTTGTGCATCCTCCAACGCTTCCACACGGGGTGATAAGGCACAGCTAACCAGAATACGGTGCACCTCGGGTCATGGCCCCCCGCCCGCGATGCAAGGGGAGGGACGCACTCTACGTAGGGGAGGTGAAAAAGGTCTCAAGGTGATGCGACAAACATTTGCCAGCGTTGGACCGCTTCAGCCCGTCTGTGCAAATAGCGCGGGCATTGTTGAAAAGGTCAGCGCTGCTGCTGTGCCTTGCTAACCTCTTCAACTCACTTACAGGCCACGACACATGGATGGACACCGGATGGGCCGATCGGACTGGCAGGCGGGTTCCCAATAGCGTCTGCTTGAAGTGCGGCTTATAATCGAATCTCACGTCTTCCATCCGTCACTTATGAATATTTGCGCACCGACGCAAAGACAGCCTGCGCTGACTGCTGCGATCTTATTCGCACATGTAGAAGCATCTTTTCTATCTGATCATTGTCCACAAATCAACGTGCCTGCATGTGTGGTCTCTCCCATATGATCATGAATACGTCGTCCTTGAAGCGTCCGAAATATTTGACCCTGTACTTCTGGTGAACCTGTGGCGTTCGAAAATACGCACTGTCTGCGACTTCACCAGAGAAGGGGAGGCCCATGCCCGACCCTTGCTTGACTTTCCACAGGCGCTCAGGCAACCAGGCGCACTCTGCATATTGCGTGTCAAACAGGAACTCCCGAACACGCTTGCCAACCTTTTCTTGATACGCGGGTCCGAAATTATCGAGGACGCGTTGTGGGCCAAGACCTCAAGTTGACCCTCCATAAACAGGCGGCGTCAACTTCGAGGAACATGTCTGTGCCCTCGACAAAGACGTCTCGTATCTGCCGTCAGAAATGGTCTGAGCCTTGCAAAAGCAACGGCATGCCGTCCAAGGGCTTCCGAAATCCTGCTCTGGCCCAGTGCTCCAGCGCACCAATGGAGGAGCGAGAAGCAGCGCGGATGGTCCTGAAGCTCGCTTATCGTTGGCTCGTGTGTCTTGCGCGTGAAAATCACACGAGCGATGCACCAAGAAGTGGGAGGAGCTTTTATGAAGTTGACCGGTCTGCAGTCAATTGCCTCTGCGGAAGACTTGCACGCGTGATAATATCCTTCTGCGGTATGCCGGGCCTGGTAATATAATGGTGGGATTTCCTCATCTCTGGGTTCTTGGAGTTGAACATGCGATTAGAATTCGTGGGGTCGAGGAACTACAGCGACATCGACCCTGAGCTGGCCGCGACACATGGTGAACTGGTGGCCCCCATGGCGTCTCCTGCTGGCCCTCGGGACCTCCCAGGCGAATCGGGTATTGCGACGGCGGTGTGTTCGGCCACCGCGCCTACTTCGGCCACGACGAAAGCTTTGGGAGCTGCCGCCCCCGCTGCGGCACTGGACGCACCGAGCGCGCCTTCGACATGGGCGCACGGACAGGCAGGCGCTTGCCCCTCTGCCGAACCCGCCCCGCTCCACAAGGGGTCGAAGCCTGGGGCAGGGGGGGCCAGCGAAGAGGGCGGCGATTCTGCCAGGCCAGGCGCGCAGCCGCAGCTTGACGGCCAGCGGCAGCCGTGGATCTTGACGGCGACGCAGCAAGACCTCGAGGTCGCCCCGAGCGCGCTCGGCGAGGACCCGCACCGGGTCGCCGCCGACCAGGAGGAGGAGCGCCTGCAGCAGGACCTCAACGGCATGACGGCCCACTGGACGGGCGACCCCAGCGCGGGCGAGGTCGAGGACGCGGCGCAAGACCTCTGATGGAGCGGTGCGTACCGCACACCCTGGGGCAGCTGTGGGATCCCGCGCACGACCCGCTCTTCGAGGGCGGCTGGGATGAGAACCCCCCGCTGGATGCGCGGCGGCGGCGCCGCGCGCGCGAGTTGCGCGAGCTCGCTCGGCGCGCGGAGCGCGGCAGCCGAGAGAGGCACCAGGTTCAGCTCCAGCGCCTGCGAGAGCGGAACGAGGGCGACTGGGGCGAGGCGGCGCAGCTCCACCTCCGCATGCCCAGGACGGGGGGCGGTTTCTCGACGAGCGCTTGGGCCCGCAGCGGCGCCTTTCCCTTGCTGGGCGCGCCGTCGGGCGAGGCGCGGCGCCTGCGCCCAGCCCCGCCGCGGCGGCCCGCGGGCCCGCGCGCGCCTCCAGCGCCGGCAGGCCCGAAGGCGCTGGCAGCGCCATGCCGGCGGCGGAGGACGCGACGCGCATCAACCTCCAGGCGGTGGGCCCCAAGGACGCCATGGACCGCGCCAAAGGAGTGCTGAGCGAGGCCGAGCTCGTCGCATGGGCCAGCGCCGACGAGCGCCGCGGCGAGCTCCGCCCGCAGCCGCGGCTCACGTCTCTCCGCCAGCTGCAGAAGAACCGGCTCTCCAAGGCGTGGACGCGGAACCACCGTCAGACAGCTAAAGTCGCCGCGCTGGGCGGCTTCCCCGAGCGGCGCGCCCTGTGCGAGAACGGCCGCGTCGAGTCGCCGCTCTGCCCATTGCGCGGCCAGGCTGAGGGCGACAACATGCACGTCTACTGGAAGTGTCAGGCGGCTCCACGAGGGGAGGCGCGGGCCAAGCTCGCCGACTACGAGCGCCCGCGCAACTTCCGCGACGCGGTGCACCTTGAAGCGGCCGCTCCGGACGGCTGGATGTGGACACGAGGGCTCATGGCAGACCCCACTGTCGGCGTGTCCTGGCACCTCCCGCGGGGTGAGCTGGACTGGGTGGGAGTGCCCCGAAGGGCCCAGCCTGTTCAAGGGGAGCGCCGCCACCGACGGCTCGGTAGTCAACCCCCCCTGGGTCCGGCTCCAAGCGGGCGGCTGGGTCGTGGCCACCTTCATCGACGGCGAGCTGGCGCAGGGCCTTTGGGGGCTGCTGCCCATCCCAGCCACAAGCAGCCTGCTCGCCGAGCTCTGGGCCATCATGGTGCTGCTGCAGCACGCGGGCCTCTTGATTGAGCTGGCGCTGGACTGCCAGGGCGCGGTGGACGGCCTGCTCGCCGGGCGCGCCTTCTGCTGCCGCAGCAACGCAGGAGGCGCCCACCTGTGACGGCGGATCTGGGACCTGCTGGACGAAGAGGGACCTGTTTCCAGGCGGCAGCCTCAGGGTGCTGAAGGTCAAGTCGCACACATCTCTCAAGAAGAGGGCGGAGTTCGACGACAACCTCAAGGACCAGTCCAGTACGCCCTGAACGACGCCGTGGACGAGCTGGCCAAGCAGGGAGCGGCCCGCCGTCCTGTGCCCGA